CGATGACGATGCGGATGTCGGTAACGTCATCAGTGATGATGACGATGACGATGCGGATGCCGGTGACGTCATCAGTGATGATGACGATGACGATGTGGATGCCGATGACGTCATCAGTGATGATGACGATGACGTCATCAGTGATGATGACGATGACGATGTGGATGCCGGTGACGTCATCAGTGATGATGACGATGTGGATGCCGGTGACGTCATCAGTGATGATGACGATGACAATATGGATGCCGGTGACGTCATCAGTGATGATGACGATGACGATGTGGATGCCGGTGACGTCATCAGTGATGATGACGATGAAAATATGGATGCCGGTGACGTCATCAGTGATGATGACGATGACGATGTGGATGCCGGTGACGTCATCAGTGATGATGACGATGACGATGCGGATGCCGGTGACGTCATGAGTGATGATGACGATGACGATGTGGATGCCGGTGACGTCATCAGTGATGATGACGATGACGATGTGGATGCCGATGACGTCATCAGTGATGATGACGATGTGGATGCCGATGACGTCATCAGTGATGATGACGATGACGATGTGGATGCCGGTGACGTCATCAGTGACGATGACGTCATCGGGGGGTCACGCGACATCGGCGGGGGTCACGTGACCTCGAGGAGGGGGTCACGTGACCTCAGGGGAGTCACGTGACTTCGGGGGGTCACGTGACCCCCCACGAGGTCACGTGACCCCGGTGGGGGGCTCGCGCGGTGCATTATGGGACATTTCCCATGATGCACCGCGCGGTTACGCCGACGGCGACGCCAACGGCGACGGCGACGCCGACGCCGCTCAAGCCGGAAACGGGCCCCTAAGAGCTGCGCTCTAAAATGTTCTGCTACACTACTTTTCGTCTCTCATACGCCCCCGTATTATGGTAGTCCTCGTAAAAAAAAGTGAAAGCCGTTTACAACTCCCTGTAACGCCGAATTAGAGCACAGCTCTTGAGGAGGAGGAGGGAAGGGTACTGGGGGGGGGGGTCAAGTGACCTTGGGTGGGGGTCACGTGACCTAGGGGGGTCACGTGACGATGCCGATGACGTCATCAGTAACGATGACGATGCGGATACCGATGACGTCATCAGTGACGTCACTGATGACGTCATCAGTGATGATGACAATGACGATGCGGATGCCGGTGACATCATCAGTGATGATGACGATGACGATGCGGATGCCAGTGACGTCATCAGTGACATCACTCATGACGTCATCAGTGATGATGACAATGACGATGCGGATGCCGGTGAGGTCATCAGGGATGATGACGATGACGATGCGGATGCCGGTGACGTCATCAGTGATGATGACGATGACGATGCGGATGCCGGTGACGTCATCAGTGACGTCATTGATGACGTCATCAGTGATGATGACAATGACGATGCGGATGCCGGTGAGGTCATCAGTGATGATGACGATGACGATGCGGATGCCGGTGACATCATCAGTGATGATGACGATGACGATACGGATGCCGGTGACGTCATCAGTGACGTCACTGATGACGTCATCAGTGATGATGACGATGCGGATGCCGGTGACGTCATCAGTGACGTCACTGATGACGGCATCGGGGGTCACGTGACCCCAGGGGTCACGTGACCTTGGGGAGTCATGTGACCTTGGGTGTCACGTGACCTTGAGGGCCAAGTGACCTTGGGATGACCTTGGTTACGCCGACGGCGACGCCAACGCCGACGGCGACGCCGACGCCGACGGCGACGCCACTCAAGCCGGGAACGGGCCCCTAAGAGCTGCGCTCTAATAAGATATTGTATTTAAGAGAAAGAGTGTAGGCGCACTCCGTTGACCTGTAAGCTGACAAGGCACCGAAAGCTGGAACCCCACCCGCCATCCCGCTAGCTTACGGCCTCCGGAAATGATCCCTGGAATTCTGCAGCTAGCAGTGCGCTTGCTCATTCGCTAAATGAGCGATCTACGAAAGCTCCGTTTTGACTCGGGTGTTTCGCCTGTTATTTATAAGAAAAGAAAAACTTGGTTCTAACGCTACAGTGTATAGCCCAATGCAGAATGCAGGTGTCACAGCTTACCTTAATATGTTTCCGCAGTTTAGAGTTTGTTGCTCTTGCTGATAACAATGTGTGTTTTTTTTTTGTGTGTGTGTGTGTGTTTTTTTGTTTTTGGCAAGCAGAGTGTACACTGAAACTCTAGGTTTCCCTTCTCCTTAATGGCCTGAATATTGAACATCTCATTAAGAGATGGCCACGGAGACGACGGACACTCCATGACCGAAAACTTAGCCAGTCAGGGAAAAACTGGTGGTTACGGGGGTTACCAATCGTTCATCGGTTCCCACTTTCGTACTAAAATTCGAGGACGCCAGGGGAGGGGAGGGCATATAGAGCGAGAGCAGCGGTGGCCCTTGGTTTCACAAAACAATAGAGGATCCCAACACTTCTACGCGTCCCCTCTCTCTCTCTCTCTCTCTCTCTCTCTGACAGCACTCCTTAGATGGCCTTTTATATTGACAGTTGACTGTAAAGTCAGGACCACCATGCCCACACAAGTAAACAAATATAAGTATTGTCCGTACCCTCGAAGACAATACTCTTACCGCCGAATTCAGAAACCTCACTCAAACTACACTCAAACTGAGGGCCCCTCCACTTCCTCGAGGAAGGCGCGAGGGCCGGCGCTGGCCAATCGCGAGGACGGATCCGCCGTCGCGATTGGCCAGCGCCGGCCCTCGCGCCTTCTTCGAGGAAGTGGAGGGGCCCTCAGTTTGAGTGTAGTTTGAGTGAGGTTTCTGAATTCGGCGGTAAGCCTCGCGCCGGGCACATTTCAGCCGTGCCTCAAGAGCGTGCTAGATTAAAGTAGCGCACATCAAAGATAAAGAGAATTCGACCCCCTCGCTCGGCACTACATCGACTGTTACGCGAGTTGTGAACCCGCGGATCGAGTGGGCACGGATCCGCTTTGATGTCTGTGCAGGTGGCGGGAGACGTCGAAGAAGTAAAAAAGGGTGAAACGGTGTAAAAAAGAAAAACAAATAAACATGAAGAGCTTTCTCCCTCCCGGGAGAAGACGAAAAACACGATGGAAGGCGACGGAGAGCCAACTCGGTATTGTCTTACTTGATATTTGTCTTTAGTATGTTTGTAGATGCCTTGCCTGTTTTTGTAGTGGTTCAAGTGACCGGTCATACAAAAAACGTGTTTTCTTTTCGGCTGTTCTCCCCTTCTTCGTGTTTTTTTTTTTTGTTGAACTTGCTCTCTTTATGCTGCTGAATGTTCTGCTCGTATTGCTCCGGTTACTGCATTATGCTCATGTTTTTTAAGAAGTAACGAGTAATTAAAGTAACCCGATACCAATATTTTGTAACGAAATTACATTGCAAATTACTTCCGGAAAAAGTAACGTGGCAATTACAAAGTTACTTGAAAAAGTAATGGATTACAAGTAATTCGTAACTTGTAACGAATTACTTTCCAAGTCTGATTTACAGTCATGTACACAGAGCGAGACTATTAGCGCAAACCACGACTTCGGCGTTTTTTTCCTTTATATATATATATATATATATATATATATATTACTTTGAAAGGGTGCAGGGACTCCAAATTTAAGTTAGCACCACAACGGAGTACTTTCCACCACTATAGTAGTTTTAATGAAAGCCGTTCAATACTGGCAGAAAGCAGAAAAAAAACGGCGAAGGCTTGTTCGTGCTAACAGTGTCGTGCAGTGTGCAACATAAGCCGAAACTGCCGGGCGACGGCAGAAGTGAACTGCCTCGACGCGAAAAGTTGAACTATCCGGTACCTTCCCATATCCGACTCAGCCAACTCATGCTTGAAAACTGAGCGCTGTTGCTACACATGTGACGTTACAGCGCGCATTTGTCATCACTTTTGCTTGTTCATAGATCCAAAAAATTATTTAACCGGTACCAGAACGACATGTTCAGATATTGAAGACGGCGACAAGCGCGAGTCTAGTGGTAGGGAAAGGTCGAGGTCCGTCACACCGCAGTGCTCCGAAAACGCTGAAAATGCACCGGTTGAGTTAGATAGCTGTGGCCACAGAACTCTAGTTCGACTTTTCACGTAGAGGCGGCACCACCGGTATCTTTTGGTCGTCGCTCGATTCCTTCAAAGGAGCGATGCAACAATTTTTGTAGTTCGCGCAAATACCGCTTAAAACGGATCCCTAACGTTAATGACCTATGAAACACGCGTTCGTTTTTCACCCCACGCAATAGAAGTCCCAGGAAAAAATTAAAGAAAAACGAACAGCGTTCACCCCTTCAACTCACAGCCAGAACATGCGGCCACGTGATCTGAACCGATTATATGCCGCCAGTGTTGATCACAGCCACGCGCTGGGGTTGGCAAAGCGCAGGACACGCGCTGAGTTCTAGACACTGCTATGGCTCGGCTGTTGTCGTCGTTGTAGCGAAGGGACACGGGTCAATACCCGAATGCTTCTCGAGCTAGCAATTATCACGAGCCCAAGTCGAGTGCCCACGCAATGCTCGGGTCCAATCTATGAACCGCATTCAAATATCGTAACTTGGGTGTAATGCGATCCCCACGTTACGTCATCCAATTTTGCAAAGGAGAGATTGAATGAAAATGATCGCTTTTGTCCTTGAAATTACACCGCAACAAAGGAGTTTCTTGGCCAGTGGCGTTGCGTGTGAGTATCCTTGAGTCTCAGGTGTGCCAGTAAACTCGTGTCAAGTGAAAAACATTCCAATTGAATATCGTTGCACAGCTCCTTTAATTTGCTTTGTCCATGACTATGCGTACATCCCGAACTCTGCGCGGCAGCGCACAAACGGGTGTTTATGACTGCTGACTTGCAATCTGAATTCGTAACTAAGGTCCAAAACCTCAACCTAGTGTTCAACAGTGAGTGACGCAGCCGCGTTCTTTATCTTCCCTCCCCCAGCAGCTCCGGCGCCCTGAGCCCGCGCCGTAGCCCGGGATGAGCCAGCCCGCGGCATGGAGCCAGGGCCGGTCGACGACTGCCGCGCTTGCCAGCAGCAGCAGCAGCAGCTCCAGGGGCCCGAGGCCGCGCGGCGCGAGTCTCCACCCCCTCCCCCTGTGCCCGAGTCCCCCGATGACGAGGCAACGGAGCCGAGCTCGTCCGGCGGGCTGGCCGACGTGCCCCACGACCCAGACCTGGACGACGAGGAGAAGGCCGGCCCGGCGGGCTTTAACCGGAGCTTCCTGCGCTGCCTGGTGCTCCTGCTGCCGGTCAGCGTGCCCGTGGTGGTGTACGTGCGCGACGCGGACTCGACCAGGCGACTCTTCCTGTTCGCCTTTGCCCTCTTCCTCGTGCTCATCTTCTCCTGCATCACCCTGGCCGTGGTGCGATCACGGAGCAGGGGCGCCGGTAGCGACGATGACGAGGAGGCCGCGCCCAGGGTAACGGCTCCTGTACTGATTCCCAGGGTTCGAACCCTGGAACAGGTGCATGCAGTCTGACGGAGACTTTTTGCGGAGAAAGGCGCGAAACCTAGTTTTTGGTTGCACGTCAAATGTCGCCAAAGGGTCCAAATTTATCTTCAGTCCTCCACTGGGGTGTGCTAGATTCCCTTCGTTGTTTAGGCGCGTGAAACTGCCCAAAAGTTTTATAGGATAACGGCTAGGGACAGCACAGATAACGAACCACTTCGCTTTAGATTCCTATGGTCATTTCGCGATGTTACCAAGGTCGCTCTCTGCAATTATTTATCAAAGAGCCTCGAAGCGTGTCTATCTCAGATTGGAAGGCAGGAATGACAGATCAGGAAGACAAAGAAGCTAAGCTGGATAATTGTCCCGGTTGGCTACTGTGTGCTGGGGAGACAGAGAGGGAGATTAATGAAGAGGTTTAAGGAGGTGACGAAGTGGATGATTGAAGGCGTCTTTTGAAATTTTTGATTATTATAAACACGTTAATCTTCACTAGCATTGATGTCCATATTCTTTGAACAGAAGTTCAGGCGTGTTTTCTTCTGGGACTAGAATATAAGATTAGAAACATCCTTTGTTGCATCAGGGGCTGCTAGCGCGTGCCCGGGAGAACTTGTGTGCGATGATAACAGGATACCGATCACCAAACATGTAAGACGGCATTCATTCTGGCTACATCGTGGCTGCCGATCTGAACCGAGTTGTGGTCAAAATCTGCTTGTTTCGGTCAAGCAACACAGTACGCACATTCTGCAACGCTCGCATACATGCCGAACGCGCCATGTTAGCGACCTTCCTTGCCCTTCAACTTCAATAAATGCCAAAAAATTGAGATATTCGAGAATAAGTGTAGTCGCCTGCTCGCGTATTGGAATTACACCCTTGATCCTCTAACCCTTTAACCTACCCAGCTCTACACTCCCGTTCTCAAGCATCTTACAGAGTTGAGTAACGACGGGTGTAACCAGGTTTGATTCAGTGTTTGATGTTTAAAAGAAGTGTTGAAAGGATAATCATTATAACAAAAAGATGAAATATGACAGCGGCTAATCTTCAGTACAAACCTAGTACATGCTTTTGACGTAACATCATCCAAACTCTTCTCTTGGCGTTGCATACATTACACAACTGCTTTCGCAGTTTTGGGACGTGTGGAGTTTAACAGACCTCCATCTATTAAACTCCAAACCGTTGTCGCAACATGCGTGTAACTCCCTGCCCTCCCTCCCTGACGTCTGTCCAGGCGGGCCGGAGTTCCTCGAGCAGGGGCCTCCCGTTCCTGCGGGCCATGCCATACCGCGTGGCGCAGGTCAGGAGCGGGCCCCACCGCAACCGGTACCCGGGCTACCGTCTGGCCGGCCAACAGCTGAGCCCCGGGGCCCGGTGTCCCGTGGTGCAGGACGACCCGCCCTGCTACCTAGACGCCCTCAAATGCCCGCTAGCACAGACGCACCAGCACAAGTCCAGGGACGTCGAGACTCCGCCGCCAGCCTACGAGGCCGTCTCCTGAGTGTCCCAGACAAGACAGCGGGTGTCCTCCTCTGGAGCCCACCTACTTTCTGTCCATACCATTGTCGAAGCCTGCTTCTACGGACACTCGCACCTACGGTCGGGTAATGCAGGAAATATGTCCCAGCACAACATCCTCTCCTCCGAGAGCGTGAAATCTTCGTGCGGCAACAGCATCCCAGGAATCGCTGGATGGTGCTCCTCTCTGGCGACTCCTGCGTCCCTCGTTTCAACAGCAAGGACATCGAGGTGCTGCCGAACCGGAGCAAACGCTGCCTCCTCTTCGGTTTCGGAAGTGACGAAGCCTCCTCCTGGATAGGACGTGTTGCTTTTTTAGTCTTGGAGGTCAAGAAAGGAGACAGGCCGGCTGAAAGTTTTAGAAGCGATATCGTCATCGAAAGTCTTTCCTGGAAATGACTCCTGGACACGTTGACTGGTTTAAGCTAATTTCTCCAGAACCCCTAGGTGTCCCTGCATATAGTATTGTAATGCATTGTACTGTTTATGGTGGCTACAGCGGGAAAGTACACCACGTACGGATAAGAAAAAGTTCGAAAATTTACGGTTTTTTGTATAAACTGCCATCGCCAAACTGCTAAGAAAAAACGAGAAAGAACCTTGCATTTGACCGAGGCTGCTCAAGCAGAAAGGAAGAGGCACATCGATTGTTCAGGCACCATCGACTTCGGCAGTTGTCGACGACTTGACCTACCAGACGTGTGGCAAGAGGAACGCTCCTCAAGTCAATTGAGTTCTCTAGAAAACTCTGCTTTTGTACCACTTCGACGGGCACAGCTTGCGAGATGGGTGCGTGCATCAGCTACGGCTGCACACGAGGCTCGAAGAACGGGAGATAAAAAAAAAAAAATCAGGACGTGAAGCGTAAACGCGAGCGCAATGTCCTGTCGACAAGGATACGTGGTGAACTCCTTGTGAAAGGCAACTGCCCACTGATCATTTAATGAAAGGAAGATGGCTCCAAAAGAAAATACATAAGCGGCCGAGTGCTGCTATGCTTTTGAGAGACCTTCTTAAATGCACCGGCAGCTGTAAATCATTCTTAGGAAATCGTGGCACTTTCCTCCCACCGTTTGCAAGTGACCTTTTAGCGATAGCAGCGCCGCTGCTCATGTTGAACTGTTCCCTGTAAGAACATAGACACCGTCTCATTGAAATATTTTTTCTCTAATAATACTAACGCAAGAAAACTAAAAAATACAGCTAGTATATTGTTGTCTTATTATTAGAAGAATTACATTGCGGCGCCTAATCGCTAGGGGTCCCTCAATACTCAGAGAGCCATTGTTTACAGTGTAAGGTTTCTATGATACGCGCGATATTGTTTCCTTTTTTAGGAAATTTCTAGTTGCAAACTTCAATACCGCTGCTAACAGTGTAGTTCCGGACGTTATGCGAGTTTCATTGTTCTTTGTCGCTGGCACAGAAACATTCGAAGACAAGAAATACCGTCTATTCGAACATTGTGTGACAAACTTTGATGGGATGTAAGTAGACATCGCAACACTGATAATCCAAAGACGACATCAGCGTTCTTTCACTTTTTACTTTGAGTTGGCGAGCACCAAAGTCTACCGCTGAGGTTAGTGCCTCAAGCGAGTTCTTTTGACTGCAGTAATAATTTTGATTATATCTTTTTGAATCTAGAAGAAATAGAGAAAGAGAACGGCGATGGGGGGGGGGGGGGGGGGGTGTTTGCGCTAACAGTGTCGCGTAGTGTACGAACCCCTTCTCAAAACTACGCTGCACTCCTGAAATGTGTTCAAGTCCCGCACTTTGGGGGGAGGGGAGAAGGCTCAAGCTTGATTCAGATGTTGCAATTTTGCTTCTGAATTTGCATCTGCAAAATGGCCACTGTGAAATTACAGGCAAAATCTTACCATGTGAATCAAGCATCACGCTGTTTAATATGCAAGTCTGGGACTACGACCTATAGTTGCACACAAGTTAACATCATGGTATCAACGGGCATGCAAGCCCAATGGTAGACTGTCGGCCAGCCATTGTGTAGTGTTTTTAGATCCACCAGTAACGGTCAGTGGTATTTAAAGGGGTATTTGTGTAGCGTGACTTGCAGCGAAGGCTATTCGCAACTTTCACGGCCTATAGGGGGCGCACAAGATTCCTGTCAAAATGGCTGTCATCAACTACGCGTGAGTAATTCTAATTTTGTGAAATACGTGCGATATAAAATCCTTACCGCATTCTTCAACATCAGAAAGCTACGAGCAAGCACTTTCACTCTGAAACCGATCATCCAGGAACCAGGGAATGCAAACCCACAATCGCTGAAAAATGCGAATAACTGCAATCCTGGGCGTGCGTATAGCCTCGGTAGATACTCTCGCTGCCTACAAAACAACCATTCAACGCACCACTCTCAAAGTGTCTCGTTCAATCTCTATATTTTTCTTTCAGTTACATTGTCTACGGGACTGCTGAAATTTATCATATTCAATGTCTCGTTCAATACCTTCTCATACATAAAAGTCACCCAAGTTTTGCAACTTCTTTTTTTTTAATTTTGATACCACCCTTATATCTATAACAGGTCATTTTCGAACTTAAGTTATTAACTCATTTCATCGGTGTACGTACATTCGTGCTGTCGTTGCACTTTTCTAAGCAAAGCGCTCGCTCTTATAAACCCTGCTGCGGTCTGCGTTGACGTGAGAAGGCGAGCATCTACTTCTAAATAATGTTTTTGTTTAACGTTTATTGGTCACAGGCGGACAATATAGAGCGATTCGTGTGCGACATTCCTCTTCCCCTACCACTGCTCGCAAACATTATTATTGTCGTTTGCACGTCATTACGCCACTCGCTTGACCGGGACCAGCATTCACGTGTTTTTTTGCAATTTACTGGCGGGTGTAACAAGACTGATCGCCTAAGAAAACTCGTCGGGCCTAACACATTCCGACTTACAGGCATCGAAATCTCGAGGCGTAATTAAAATGCATGCTACCGACGCGCAAGCATCTCCACAATCACTGTCGAGCTCCGTGTGCATTCTAGCTAAATAAAACATATCTATAAAAACGGAGGACTAAATAAAACGAAACAGAACAGAAGTGCCCCAATGACATTTCTGATAAAACCGAAAACGATCCTCCTAACTTATTTGCCATGCCGCCGACTAACGTAATCCAACAGATACAACGTCCGTCGGTATCAGTACCTATTCATAACAACGCCATCAGCCACATAATGTAAAAAAAAAAAAAACGATAAAAAAAATTCTTGATGTACACCGGCAGAACGAAGTTCCTTGTTAGGCGAACGCGGCCCCGGCGATTAGCGGGCATTAGCAAGTCCGGTCGCTGACGCTTGCCGGTACGAAATCAAGCGTACCGGGTGAACGAACTTTCTATGTATACGCTCCCAATTCCGCGCTGATAGTGCGTGGACTCTAAAGCATAAGGGATAAGCCAGACAAGCGAAGCGGCGCTACTCGTACCTCTAGTAGGAATAAAAAATGGAAAATAAAAGCTCTCGCGGAATTTTTGATCAGCGCGCGTACCATGTTCACATTGTCAGAAGAGGCTTCCAGGGCATCCCTTATTGTTTTTTTTTTTTATTATTCTTATTTAGACTACACTCGCCGAAGGTCACAACAGAGCGGCACAACACATTTGGTGGACCATTCTACTACGCGGATGTTAATGTAATATCATCAGTGCGAATACACATCTTGGTGACACGCTTCTGCTCGCGGATTATCGTTGACTGTTACAAGTTGTAACTGGGATTACCAGTTGCGGCGTTTAATCTTGACAGCATTGGCCGTTGCAGTTGAACATTATTTCGCTCGAATCCGAGTTAAGTGCATAGAGTATGTGAGAAAAAAAGAACACCAGCCCTGGGCAAAGCAAAGAAAGGCGCAATGTCCTTGAACTAAAAAAAAAAAAAAAAAAATTCTTTCGTTTAGTAAGAGATACTTCCTGATCGCATGTCCTCAGAAACGTAGCGCTATATGAGACCCCGCATCAACAGCACCACCGTCATTGTAGCATCATTATACGAGATAGCTGTTTAGTACCTGATAAGATTTGGAGTACTCTTTTTTTCTACTAGTCAATATTCCGGGCAAATCAATTGGAGCTCGTTATCCGACAATACAAAAATGCCGAAACCTTACTTACAAGTCAGAGCCAGTAGCTTAACTTGCAGTTTCCCGTGACGAAAGGCGGCCTAAGTTTGTGCCTGCAGCAACCTCTCATTTCGATATGTTTATTTTTGTGCTTTTGTTTTGTTTTTCGCATTGCGAGTTCATAGTTTTTTGCTTTTTTTTTCTTTCTTCTCGGGGTGAGGGAGAAAACAGTTTGAGTACCCACCTGATTCGCAGGGGTCAAATTGGCGCCCAGTGTAGATACCTCCACAGTCGAGCCACGTTGATCCCACCAACAACAAAAAGTCAGTGACAAATTCGCCCCGAGCGAGTACAGGATTGACTCTCCCACACCTTCCTACTTCCTCGTCGCTAACGACAGCCACCAAAAAAATGAACGAATGGGACCCCCATTCCTCGTGTACGGGTCTACACTTGGTTTCCCTACGAGTCCCAGCCGGCGATACTGTAGCCGGTGGGGCCGACCACGAAGCACCGCCTAAAGCGCAACGTCGCGGCGTGGGTCCTATTTGTGTGCGTGTCCCGGCTAAACCATTCGAGCACAACAATGGATGCGCTCTGATACCTTGCACTGTTAGCCTGTGCGCCTGCATTTGTATGTCTTCAAACCGTCGACTGCGCTAAAACTTGTAGTAAAACAAAGTGTAGTCATCTGTTGTTGTTTTTGTTCGTGTTTTAAGGGCGTGTTTGGCGTTTGTTTACGTGTTCTGAGGACTTTGAAGCGTTTACTTAAATTTTTATATTGAATGAGAAGCACAAGTATGAAAAAATTCACGCCTTACTTATTGTATGAGATTTAGAAAGACCATACTTATTTGAATTCCCAGCTTAAAGCTTTATAATCTCATTCA